GAGAGAGAGAGAGAGAGAGAGAGAGACAGACAGACAGAGAGACAGAGAGAGACAGAGAGAGAGACAGAGAGAGAGAGAGACAGAGAGTTTGGATGATTTGAATTCATGAATAAGCTGAGATGACCAAATATCATTTTCAGAGATGGTCAAGTAGATCGTAGATGGAAACACGGAAAAGGGATAACTACGTCTATTTGCTACACATTCTGCATCGAGCTATCCTATTGGTGAAACTACTTCAGCTATAAAAATACTTTTGATCAAAGACATTGATGTGTTTACTCCAGTTGTAGTGGGTTACATAGCCAGAGAAGTAAAAGTATCCATTATGATTAATGTCATTTTTTTTTTTTTCAGACGGGACTTTCGACGCAACACATTTTGGACAGATATGTCCCTTTCCGGACGTGTTTTTGAATTTCCTGGAAAAGGAGCAAGGTGGTGAAGACTGTCTCTTTCTAAACGTCTACACCAAAGAGTTGGCTCCGTCCTCACCGAAAAAGGTGTTGGTCTTCATACACGGCGGGGGGTACGTTGTTGGGAGTTCTAATGAGTACAACACAGGCACTGTTGTGACGACTCACGATATAGTTGTCGTTACCATCAACTACCGCTTGGGCGTTCTAGGTTTCTTCAGCACTGAGGATCAGTCCAGCCCTGGAAACTTTGGGCTCTGGGACATAACCTTGGCTTTGAAATGGGTCAAGGACAACATAGTGTCTTTCGGAGGCGACCCTAACGACGTCACCATATTATATCCGGGGAGTCTGCTGGGGGTTCTGCTGTGGGTTATCTTTCCATCTCTCCTCACACCAAAGGACTTTTCTCTAAGGCGTATCCACAGAGCGGAACTCCTACTTCAGCATTCGGCAAAGCACTTGACCCACAGAAAGATGCTTTAACTCTCGCTGCCAGTGTCAACTGCTTTGAAGGCGACGCCTCGCAAAAAGCTGACTCTGATACGACCAGGACAGTGGTAGAATGTCTGCGCAAACTGCCCTTGTCTAACTTCACCCAGTACATGGCATTATCCTTTGACAAAACTGTTTTTGTTCCTATAGTTGACAAGGACTTTGTCCCAAGACCACCTCTGCAGCTACTCCAAGACGACAGTTACTTGGAAGATGTAGGTTTCTTCAAAAGATCGTACCTTGTGGGGATTAACAACAACGAAGCGTCAGTAACGAGATCTTATGTTGATCTCTCCTTAGCCGGGATGATTACAAATCGGGACGACATCACTGACGAAGAAAAAACAGAATTATTGAAGAAAGCACGCTCAGCGGCGTATAATTTTTATATTATGTCCCGGATGCACGCTCCAGTGCCGGCCGCGATCGTGGACAAAATCGTCAGTTGGTATGAGAGAAGATACGGGGATGATACTCTAACAATGTTAATAAGTGATTTGAACTTTAACGTTCCGACTTTCGATTTTCCAGAGGAAAAGATACCAAAGTTTGGCTTTTCCACTTTAATCACTTCCCGAGATTTATGAAAGGGAAAGAGAAGGGCATGGTCCACGGACTTGATTTGTGTTACTGGTTTGATTTCTCTGTGGAAGAGATGGAGAAATTTCTCAGACAAGGACTTGATGTTACTATAGGAATTGGTGACGAAGATTTAGATCTCAAGTCACGTCTTTCTGCGTTAATCACAGACTTCACAACAACTGGGTAAGCCCTCTTTTCATTTTTTCTGTCTTTCAACTCGAAGTAAGTCTAATCTTCTTAGGAGTCATGATCACCAAATTAGATTAAATTCAGTCTCCCAAAATAGGGTGCAGCATGCCTTAACTAAAAATAGCGCTTGAAAGTTCAGATAAGCTGAAACGCGAATCGAATCCGGTTTACTTGCATTTTAACAACACACAGCGAGATCAGTACTTTGCCAATTCAGCACATGATTTCTAGAAAAAAAATAGTGTGAATATTAAGACAAATCTTTGGCATCTAGATCTAGTTTCAAGGAACATAAAGTGGGTCATTGCATCGACAACACTCACTACAAAATATAGTTTTATGTGTCCTACCAGGGCGATGGTGGGTAATTTTGTGAGTAGATAATATAATAATAATA